TTTTTGAAGTTATACTTCTTATGCGACTTCCAACAAGGTTGCGTTAAACGTTTAACGCTACATTTTTATTGGCCGGGAAATCACGTGGTAGGATCCCGTTTTCCCTCATACATTTCCATATTGTTTTGGTTCTCACTAGCATAAAAATAATAAAAGTATTGTTTTTCTATAAATAATTTTTTAGTTTGTTTCTGTACACATATAATTTAATAGGGTAGTATTTTTTATTTTCAAACTCAGTGGATAACAATTGTAAAAAATGAAGGTTATGTCAAGGTACGCCTCTTGTGAATATCAATTAGGTTTTCTCTTTTCTAATTGCCATTTATATTTCACCAAATGCAGCCATGAGGGATATTAAATTATTTATCGCAAAATCTTTATTGCCACTATCCACTGCAGGTTCACAAGCTCTGGCAGACGTTACTGGTGAAGAAATTGATTATTGTGAGCTGCCTGTGATCCTTGCAGGAGATTTTAATGTGAATTTCTCACTACCTGAAACATTATTAAACTTCCTTAAAGACAAATTTGGATTCGAAATGATAAATGGTAGGAATGATCCAACAGGGGTAACTACCATTGATGCAGTTTTTGCAAGAAATATTGAAAAAATAGAACTCAAACATTTCGTATCTTACTTTAGTTATCATAATCCCATTGTAAATGTTATATATCTGGATATTTCTCCACTCGAAAATGATAATTAAAAGATGCGATCAATTGTGAATTGTAAGCAATGTTAATAAAGTTTGTCTTAAAGAAACAATATAATTTCTCTAAAAATCAATTTCTACCCCTTCCTATTTTCATTTCCACATTACGAAGTTTCACTTCTTCCGCGCGGAGGGACTCCACGCACTATTTTTTTTNTTTTTTTTTTTTTTTTTTTTTTTTTTTTTTTTTTTTTTTTTTTTTTTTTTTTTTTTTTTTTTTTTTTTAGCAAATGTAGCAAATGTAAATTTCGCTGTATTTTTTGTAGACGGATTATAGGTTAGAGATCCATTACCATCAAGCTAATCGCAAGAGGGTTTCGTGGTTTTCCTCTCCACGTAACGCAAATGCCGGCTAGTTCCACCAAAAAGTCCCCCACGAAGACAAATTTCCGCCTATACTTGATCCAGGAGTTCCCTTGTCTTATGGATTTGGTTCAAATTACAAGATTCAGAAGTTGAACATTAGTAGTCGTAAACCCAAAAAATTGGGTCGGTTGTTCTACGACAATTATAAAAAAATAAATAAATAAAAAATAAAAAAAAAACCTTTAAAAGTAGTGGGATATCTATTTAGTTTAAAATCTATCCGAAATAAAGCTTTAATTTCCCTTTTTTTATTCACAAGACATTTTTTCCTTCTTCCGAGGATGATTTAAAAACATTGCTTGGGCCAGGTCAAGAGCAAGGTGCACATCGGCCCGTGGACCCATATATGTTTATAAGAGGACATATTGCCTAGATGTTCGCTATACATTCCTTAAGACTTAAAAATATAAATAAAAATTAAATAATAAATAATAAAAATTAAATAATAATAATAATATAAATTAAATAAAATATAAATTAAATAATAATCAAAAGAAATAAAACATACGTAATAAAATAAAACATTTTAATTTTAATTTAGGGAATTTTTCGGTCGAAATTTACCATCAGTGAAGTTTCCTTGTACTATAAATATCTCTTTCGGAAATTAGTTCCAAAATAAAAAATTGTACTCGTTTTAAGGAAAAATATATATTGGTCTGATGAGCTAACTAGTGAGCAAATGCGAAGTGATGTGTGCGTGTAGGCTAACCAGCGAAAATTTTCACTAAGATTTATATTTAAAATACATTATGCCATGGATTTAGAGAAAAAAAGCCGAGATCAGTAGGTTTAATGTGTAGCACCTAAGTTCCTAAAGACGAATGTCTGTCAAAAATGGGCTGCAAAGTGATGAATTCGGAAACAATTTTTTACTTTTCCGATTTGCACTTTGACTATATTTTATTTTATTTTATAACCGGCGCTGAACAGCTGACTCAATTTTTGGGTTTACAACTTACAATACTCAATTCCATATCCTTGTAATTTTGAACCCAATCCAGAAGACAAGGTTCCCTTGTCTTCTGGAGGATTTTTTTATAGAACTAACCCGCATTTGCTTTACACGACGAGAAAAACCACAAAACCTTCCACCGTTAGTCTAACGGCAAGGGGGATCTAACCCATGATCCGTCTTCCACTGAAGATATTTTTAAATCAACACTGTGGTGGGTGCGAGCCGTGTGCGGAGTTGGAATCGACCAGCCATTGGTAGAATTCGAAACCGGTTTACATCATTGGCCCTTTGACTATATACAGAGCAGCATTTATTTCTCCGATTTAGTCTAAATATTATTTCTGGAATCCGTAAATGTTTTTTACCCCTGCAAATTGCTTTTAAAATTTCAACACCAAGGATTAAAAGAATTGCTGCATAGGGCAACAAGAGAACCACGAAACGGTGAGTTTACCGCTGTCATTGACTGCAATTTTAATGATATAATGAACTATTTTTAATATAAAAGAAAACTAAAATTTATAAGGAACTGACATGAACTTACAGCGGAAAATGCCAGAGCTGTATGATATTCTGCCCAAGATGCAATAATGCCACCAGCGATGCAACAGAGAAAGGACCATACTAAGGAGTATATCAGTTCCTAGTATGAAATATAACAAATGTACTTTTTATATTTAATCTATAAATATTATTCTGTATACTTCAATTATGAATATAGTATTTTATTAATTATTGACCGTATCATTATCGTATGACAATTTTCCGTAAGGAGTTACGAATAAATTTACTAAAAAGCCGAATTAACTATTAATTTTAGGTAGGTATAGAATAAATACATATAAACTTTTGCTTAGTATTAATAGATTTTCATATACTAAATAACGAGGCAATCTTAAGGCCTGGTTTCTTAGGACAGGACGCCGTCAGCTGGAAATCAGCGCTAACCTCTGATTGGTCCATTTGTGAGTTTGATAGTATACGTCATCGAACGCTCATCTTGAAGTACAATTGCCGTCCAACTCAACTGCAGTTGGATTACAACGTGACGTTAACCACAGAAGCAATGGCGGACAACAGCCAACAGCACATTGAAATCAGCCAAGATTTTGATTTTGACATTAAACGTAGCTTCTTCATTAAACATATCACTCTTCATTTAGCTCAGCTATAATGTGTTTTTTCTTGGACAAAGTCATTATTTGTTCTCTAAAACTCTGGTCGACGATAACAAAATCAATACAAATTCAAAATAAATATTTGTTTACGTTATTAACGCATGTGCAATGAGAGATAATGTCTGCGTTGGACCGACTGCTCACGCTGAGTTAACAAAAAAGTATTTTTTTGGCATCAGCTCTACGTCAACTTTCCGCTGACGCCCAGATAAGGCGCTAGTTCTAAGAAACCAGGCCTTGAGCTAACAAACCAGTATTTTGTTGGCGTCAGCGGGATGTTGACGTCCCGCTGACGCCCAGATAAGGCGCTTGTCCTAAGAAACCAGACCTTTAATGGTTCGATGCGCATCCTAAACATGGTATTTAGTTAGTTCTATATTTGGATTTAAAAAAATTGTTGTTTTACGAGTTATCTATCATACTTTTTTTAAAAAATAATTTACAAAACACTCTCTGATGTAAACAAGTATTTTACAATTGATAAATTTCTTCGTTAATTAAAACAATACCGGCGCATGTGACACTACCCTAAAAATCTTCAATTAAGATTGTGATTAGTGCAATAAATAACGAAGTCACTATCTTATCTATCTATCTTATACGCCTATCTATCTTATCTATCTATCTATCACTATCTATCTTATACGCCTTTGCGTAATTGTCCAATATCCACACCACACTTCTCAAGCACGCAACCGTGAGTGGATTTTCACTGTTTTGAAATCGTTGAAAAAGACTGATGTGATGTATTATAATATTCACAGTGTTTGTCTTTACAAGTGATAATATATCTGATACAGAGTCTTTGCTCGAGGAGTCAAACCTCAGCACATACTGTGAAATGCAAACACTCTACATTTTATACCATATTACATACCGGAGATTCGTTATTCATTAGCCGATACAGCATTATGGGAGGAGTATTCTCCACGACCGGAGATTCTCTTCTTCTGTTGGCATGGCAGCCTTTTGTGGGCCAGAGCCTTCCCGAGAACTTTCCCTCATTCTGCTCTTTTCTTTGCTATTGTTCGCCAGTTAGTAATTCTTTGGATTTTAAAATCTTCTGCCACTCAGTCAAGCCATCTGATCTTAGGCTTACCTCTAACTCTAGTTCCCATTGGTTTGCATTTGAAGATCTTAAATGTCTAGGAAGATGGGTCCATTCGACAGATGTGACCCGCAAAATTTAAGCGACATATTTTGATGTATTTAATGATATCAACTTCCTCGAATAGCCTATAACAGGGGTGGCCAAGCTCCTTGATAGTCGAGTCATTTTTCAAAAAGGTATGCTAAAAAGGTACTAATTTCTTTTTTACATAAATTATATTTATTGAAAACATATAAGTAAAAATACAAAATATGTGTATTGAATTTAAACATTAAAAATTAAACACATTTATTTTACTTATCTTGATAATTCTTTAAATTTGGTGAATAGCTGGTGACAGCACTTCTCAGCAATTCTTTGAGATGCTGGTTAGTTCATACTGGTCGGTGATTATATTTCACGAATTTTAAAGTGGAATAACATGATTCACATAAGTACGTTGTTCCGAATGTTGAAATAATTCGACAAGCAGCGTTTTTTTAATTCAGGATACTTCGATTCTGGTACAAATTTCCAAAATTCAGTAATCGACGTCGACTTATTTTAATTGTAGAGCTTGATCTTCTTGCATCTCCATTAATTTTAATTCTCCACAAGCTTTTTGTGTCATAATTATATTGGAAAAGGAAAACTCACCTTGAACTGAACAACGCTGCACTTAATCTTTCATATTTGTTCTCAGTAATTTAAAAGACATTTTGAAACATATACGGAGCGATAATAATTTTTTAAAATATAATAGCACAAAAAGGAAAAGGGAACTCGGGTACATTTATCGAGAGCCAAAAATAATCCTTCAAAGAGCCGCATGTGGCTCGCGAGCCGCAGGTTGGCCACCCCTGGCCTATAAACTAGTGAAAATTATGTCGTTGTCTCCATAAGCCATCCACATTTATAACACCGAAAAATTTTCTCAAGGCTTTTCTCTCAAAATCAGCAAGCAGTGGAGATTATCTATACCCATTTAACTTGACAGTGGACCCTTTTTCGAACTGTTAGTTCATTTTCTGAAAGATCGTGCGATACTGAACCCGTTAAATAAGATTTTTAACTGAGGTATCTTAAGCTGCGTAGTAAACTCTGTGTAGATTTTTCTCATTGTATGAAGATTAAAGTGAAATCCAAGGCTTTTCTTTGACAATAACAGTATATCTTATACGCTGAAATGAAACCTTAAGCAAAAATTCTAACGTAAAAAGTGTTGATGAGCCTACCAAACGAACACTTTATCAACCGTGTAGAAATCGTGAAATCAGAATGAAGCTGGATGTGAGACTTTATAATTTTGGGTGCGTTTTCATTATTAAGCCTGACCACACGTACTTGACTCAATATGTTTATTATAACATTCTGACCAGGTGTTATCATTCAGTCAACACCTTCATGAGGAATATTCAGCTGATGAGCATAGTTTTCAATATGACAACTAAGTTCATAGAAAGAACATTAGACTAGATTTGTGAAGATAAATAAACCCTATTGCATCTCGACTGATCAGCAAAATCACCTAACTTAAAATGTGTGGAAATTGATGGAATGGCGGGCAGAACGTCGAATTCAGTATCTGTTTCTGTGACAAAACTGTGGCTTTTATTCTTCGTATTGACGTTTTGTGAAATTTTTTATGCTAGCTTTCATTTTATCCCTCGGCCAACTCTTAGGAGTCGTCTCTGCAGCTAGTGCTACGGCACTTTCTTGCAATCTAATCATACAAGACGTCTTAATAACCAACTCAACCGGCACCAGAAAGAGAAGACGGCCAAAACTCAAGTGGATGGAGATTGGCTCGAGGGTGACTTAAGACACTGCAAATCACAAGCTGAGAAATCAAAGCGTCCTAGACAGGATCATCTGAAGTCGAATTCTGAAGATGACCAATCCGTGCTGAGGCAGGAAGCTATCTAATCATACAGTCTGGTTTATCTCTTGATTGTATATTAATCTTATGGCTGGCAATTCAACTGGCCTAGTTCAATTTTGTTTCATGTAACGAAATTTTGATTCCTAATTATTTTATTAAAATTGTCCTGTCGTGTTAAACATCACACCAATTCACTTAGCAATAATTGCGTAACAATATTTTAAGTTACAAAAATTGAAGTCAGAATATCTCACATTTAAATAAAGCGTATGTTAATAATAATAAATAAAAAATTAGAACTTACAATTAGCACCCAAGGTATTGTTTTGCTTGTCACATCTGTTACGTGTATCATGTGTAAGAATCCTAAATTTAGAGCCATGACAAAACCCAGAAGCGCGACAAATTCGTAATACCTACCGGCAGGAAAATCATAGCTCTTAGTGACTACTCTCATGCATAAGTATCCAAATAAGCCGTCAGCCTAAAAAAGAATATTTAAATGAAGAACTGTTTCAAGAATATAGTCAGCAGAGACAGGTCACCCTTATAGGGCGAAATTAACAGCCACCACCGACTTCAAGACAGCTAAATATAATATTTGTCGTTTAAAAAATTGTCTCCCAGTTGCCACTCGATCACTTTATTAGGAAGAAAATACTTGCATGCATTTTATTATTATTTTCAATAAATATGGAATTATTATGAATATTCTACGGCTATTTCTCTCTCTCTCTCTCTCTTTTTTTTTCTTTGGATTTTTCGAAATGAACTACATTGCGAGAAAGGCTTCAACATTTTTCTTAATCATTTAAAATTTAAAATTTTTTTTTTCAAAAGCGGTGACTGTTAAAAATGTTATATTTGGTTACTGACCAGTAGCGAAATTTTCTATTTTTGTCCAATGCACATCCCTATAACTTCGGAATTATTGACTGAATTTTAATTCTTTAATAAGTAATGGCAATAATATCTCGAAGAAAAGTCTTAGCAATTAATTGCAATCATGGCGGAATATGCTTATTTTTGACGCAAAAACGCTCTTTTTTCTGAAGAAATATAGCTTCTTTATCAACAAATTTGGATTTATAACACCCAAACTGGAAAGGTAGACAAAGTTTTAAAAATGTGACCTTTACAGTTTACGCACTATGAAGTTTGTAGTTATAATGCTATTGTAATGTATCATTAAATTAAAATAATTCTTTCGCAGAAAGTGATAAACCCTTCGGCCTAAAAGCAAATTTCTCATTAAATGAGGAATTAAGATGAAAAATTTTTTTTTTTGGAATTAATTTGAGAATAATGAATACATTTCTGAATTGTGAGGTATAAAAACGATTATTTAATTCGGAAATTTCATATTTTTGTAAGCCCAAATCTAATTTTTCCTGATATCTTAATGATAAAAAGTACATTAAAGCTGATTTTGAAAATTTATAAAGTGAATAATGGTAAAGAAATGTTAAAATGTTAATTAAAAAGCTCCTTCTTGTAAAATTCTTCAGATAAGATTTCGGTATGCAGTTCATTGGAATATTCTGTTCTTTTTTGACATAGTCATGTAAGAATAAATTCTACAAAAACAAAAATCAATATTACATTATTAGCATACAGAGCGCAAAAAGAAGAAATAAATAAATATATGGACCACCCTAAAAACCTTTTCATCTAATGATCGGATTTTCATGTCCTAGGACTCAATCTTAATGGTTCGATTGGGTAACCTCAAATATGTTAATTAATTAGCACAAAAGTTATTTTGACATACGAAATCAGGCACAAAAACGTACTTTCTCTGAATAAACATACCATTTTTTTCGACTGATTCGGATTTTTGGCCCTCAAAATATAGGGGGTTGCCACAATCTAGAATTTATAGTCCCAATAGTTTGGTCAGGAGAACGGCTTAAAGTTTGGATCCATTAACGTTAATTTTACCTTTCACATATTTCGCCTTGTCTCGAAAACTTTTTAAGCAAATCGAGAAAGTTTGCACACAATTACAAAATTTATTTATCCAAAGATATTTCCATGCAAAAAATAACTTTTAGTAAACATTCATTACATTTTATAATAATATTTTATTTATTAATAAATGAAAAAAAATTTAATTGTAAGGTAGGAATTTTTTTACATCATTTTAAAGAACGATATTTCAAATGGCAAAATACGAAATTTGAGCAAAATCGATTGAAAAATCCGAAGTTTAAAGAAGACGCCTTTTTAAAATTAGATTTCTCAGTAAGTATATGCAAGAAATTTCCATTCGCTTAAAAAGTTCACGAAATATGGGAAATTAGCAAAAAGTTTAACATTACGGAGTCCAAACCTTGGTCTCCTAATCAAACTATTGAAACCATATTTAATAAGATATACCCAACCATATTTAAACCATATCATAAATCATATTTTGTGACTTATTTTTTAAGGGTCAAAAATCCGAATTTGTCTAAAAAAATATGTTTATTCAGAGAAGGTACGTTTTTGTGTCTGATTTCTTAATTTTAAATATCTTCTGGAATAATTAATTAGCATATTTGAAGTCACCCCATGGAACCATTAAGACTGAGACCCCTAGAACGCAAAGATCCCATCATTAGATCAAAAGTTATTTAGGGTAGTCCGTTTTTTATTTTGAGCACTGTACGAAAACCACCTAAACCAGAAAAAAACTACAGACGGACCTTTATTTAGCGAAGTCGCTAATTCCCGATAGTAAGTTCGTTATATAAAAAATTCGTTAAAAAGAAAATCACTTTTTGAAACACTTAAACAACACAAAACAGGTTTTAAATTCATAAGCACTAGACATAATTGAAATAGTAATTGTAAAAAATATAATATATTAAAATAGCAATTATCTTTAAATAATCAAAATAGCAATTATCTTTAAATAATTAAAATAGCAATTATCTTTAAATAATTAAAATAGCAATTGTCTTTATCTTGTAAACTAGTATTTACTGTTTATTTTACAAAGCTTAGCCATAAAAAAAATATGCATGGAAAGCAAGAATAGAATAAAACATTAACCAGTGTTACATTTATCATGCTACATACATTTTCAACTAAAACAAAACTTCATTTATGTATAAAATTACAGCTGCATTTATTATAAAAGTAATTTTAGAAAATACATCACCACATGCGTTCTTAGTTATAAAATCCGACAAAAACCAAATCCGAACAGAATCCACATAAAAAGGGATTCTAAATCAGGGCAAAAGGAAATTAAAACCAAACAAAAAAGGAAAGGGATTGTACTGCTTTCTCTAAAAGCTAAAGTGGCTTCGAAAATCAATTCAAGGTCATTTCCCTCATAAAAGCGTTAACAAGAAATGTTCTTAAATATTTTGGAAAATAGGGAAAGTGGATCTTAGAGAAAAGTTCGCTAAATAGAAAATTCATTTCGCTATTTGGAAATTATTTTACGAAGCAATTTCCAAAATGTTCTTGGTTCCTTGAAGAAAAAAAATCGCAAAATAGAGAAATTCGCAAATTGGAAGTTCGTTAAATAGACGTCCGACTGTTATTATGCGAAACCTGACTGCTATGAAAATTGTGTATGATTTAAAATGACTTTCAAAGTATTGACTTAGTTTTCTTGTTGATAAATACACTAAGTTAAGAAATAGGATACATTATTTTACAACATTTCGATTCAAAATTTATATAACTGAGTTTGATCTAACACTTTTGCAAGCTAGTGGATATATCATCTTTGTCTTCATTTGTATAATGATAAAAATATATATATATACTAACAGCTTGTAAAATTTTCAACATGCCAGAAGGTGTACGGAGGTAGGTAAGATCAAAAAACATTTTTGGAGTATGATGGTGATCAGCATTCGAATCATTCGCAATATGTCCAGTTGGAGTTAGCATATTCATTTTCTTCCTGGAAGGAAAAAAAAACATTCAAAGATCAAGTTCGCTCAACATCAGGAGGTAATATTAAGTTAAGCTAGTTTAAACATTCAATACAAGGTTTCCATGGATCGGAAAAATAAAAAAGTTGAAATTAATGCATTTTTAACTACTGAAAGGGGAAAGTGTTGGTATTTAGGTAGATATTTTATTTACGTTTCACTAGAGCTGCACAATGAGCTATTGGCGATGAGCTCAAAACATCACTGAGGATGATCAGAAGACATACCATTACAATTTTGACTCCCTGCTAAGCTCCTCGATACTGTGCACCCTCCGATACGACGCACCCTAGGTCACTATACGCTGGCTGATCAAAGTGATCAACTATCTGCTTTCTGACTGCAGCCAGTGATGTTTCAGTTCAATGCTGTACTAAGAACCGTATCTTTACAATCAGTCAGCCCACTGCGGGACGAAAGGGAAAAAGAAATAATTTAAAGGTGGCAGTATGTCTGGGTTCGAATAAGAAAGTTCTAGAAATAGTTTCGTAAACTAAACGGGAAGCTCTACCTAATTAAAGGGGAGAGGGTAGGAAAGCATTATTCGCTTTGAGAAAAGTACCTGACCTTTTTCTGCTTTCTTTTTTCTGGGTCCTTGAAGTATTGTAATCATGCATAGACGATGTTTTAATCAATTTATCCAAAAGAAAGATTCCAAGGAAAATACTTTCTCAACACATGATTTCTGTAGAAAGGCAGGAGGATACCCGTTTGGGAGGATTGAGTGAGACATGCTCTGTTGGCAACGATTGGAATCGAACCAAGGACAGATGGTGAGTTAGGAAGGTCGGGGTCAGAAATCTGGAGTAGTGAGCTGTGGTGGCTCAGGGAATAGAGTGTTCACCTCCTAATGAGAGGACCGGGTTCGAATCCCACCGATGACTGGTTGATACGAATTGTGCTCCCGACATGCCCCAACCACAGTGGTAAAGTAAAATATCCTCTGTGATAAACGGATCATGAGTTAGAATCTCATTGCCGTTGAACCAACCTGGGGAGATTTACGTGGTTTTCCTCTACGTGTAACAAAATTGCGGGTTAGTTCCATAAAAAAGTCCACGAAAGGAAGTTTGCCCAAATGCGTGATTTTGCAGTAGCCTTGTCATCTGAGTTAGATTTAAACTTACAAGGTTACGGAGTTAAACATTGATAATCGTAAACTCAAAATTGGGTCGGCTGCTCAACGCTGGTAATAAAACGTGAAAGAGTGTGCGAAAAATGATCTTTTGGTGCTGCTTGGAGTTCATTATTGAGTCCTCTAGCCACCATGGAAAAGGGTGTACAAGACCGATCAGGATTAAAATAATAGCTAATTTCTATAAATAATAGCCGGTTTAACTGGCATAATAGCCTGGGAGCTGTTCTCCGATCCAGCGGCCTCTAACGACCAGCTCTTTAGTTTATTTCTTAATTTTTAAGAAAAAAATTTTTTTCTCGGCTTTTTTTAGTTTGGGTAAAAAAAAATTGAAATAAATAAAAGCTTGCCTTATAACTGGAACCAGGTATCCACAGTTGGGAAAATAGGAATCTAATTGCTTTTGCAGGAGTTTCTCGCACAATTATAAAATTAATTTAGTTAAAAAAAGGTCCATGCAAAAAATAATTGTTAAGGTTTTTTTTTAGTCATTTTTTTATTATTCTATTTAAAGGGTCTAAAATATATTGAATAGTAAGATATTCACTTTTTACACCAGTTTACATTATGTAATTTTGAATGACAAAATACAAAATTTGAGCTAAATCGTTTAAATAGTTCTGAATTATAAAATTTCAAAATAGCCATATTTCTAAAATTCTATTTCTCAAGAACTATTCGACCAATTACATTCAAATTTTGTTATTTTTCATTTAAAATTACATAGTTTGACTGAATGTAAACATTTACATACATTAGAAATTAATATTTTTTTCCCCTTATAAAATAAAATGTTAAAAAATTATAAGAAAAATTATTTAAAAATATTTTTTACAAGTAAAAATTTTTGGATTAACGAATTTAATAATTGAGTTCAAAAATTTGTTGATTCGCTGTACAACTTCCTGAAATATGAGTAATTGAGCAAAAAGTAATATGAACATTAAGGACCCAAATTTTCGACTATCCTACTGCCGAACCTATTGGGAGAACATTTTTCAGATTGCGGATACCCTCCCCCCCCCAATTTTAATGGTCATATATCCAATTCCGTTGAAAAAGGGTATATTTATTCAGAAAAAGTATGTTTTTGCGTCTGTTTTTGTAACTTTATATTTTTTACAAATTAATTACCATATTTGAGGTTATCATTTTAACCAATGAAGATTGATACTTATTTTGTAAAAATCTGATCATTAGAAAAAAAGTTATCTAAAATAATGATACTTGCTTGACCGAGTGGTATAACCCACAAACTGTAGCATGATGGTAGCGGGTCCGAAACTCGCCGTAACCTTGGTCGATAGAAGAAGATACATATCTTCTTATTATCTTTCTCTGACTTTTGCTATCTGTGCTTCTTTCACTTGAGAAAAGCTTGTAAGCTGTAATGTAATTGAGCACACAAAAGGGGATATCTTTTTTTTTAAAATTTATTTTGAGCACTGTACCTAGCTATTTAGCTCATTTAACTTATTTAATGGTGCTGGTAATCAGGTATAATAATTGAGAATTATAAATAATCACCGGATTAATCACTTTTACCGTATCATAACCACATGTTACGATAAAATTTCAGATGTTCTTTTTTTCTATTGGACATTCGATAACATATAAGATTATTTCACAAAAATATACCTTGATTTAATTTAAAAATGTCTTTCTTTTTCGTTTTACATTCAATTAGTTTACTTCTTCCTCATTAGAAAGTATAACACACATCTTGGTGGTTTTATGGGAGCACTAATTTACTTCGTGTTTAAATTAGTCTTTACTTTTGATACGTACCGTTTACTTCACAATTTTTTCCCATTCTTTAAAAAAGAAAGCAATAAAAATTTATTATTATTTCTCATTTTATTGCAACTATCAAGATAATATCAAAAAATACTAAAAAATGAAGTTGAATGAACATTGATTCATTATTTGTTTCAATTTGCATAAAATATATTACTTCAAATTTAAAAAAACAAACGCAGAAAATTATGACTTATTCGGTTTTATTTTTTTAAATTCCACATTCAATTACGGCGAATGAAACTGCGAGATTATTAACCAAAATCAGTTTTAAAACAGTTTTTAATTTTAGCTTTATTTAATAGCTTAACAAATTTTTAAAACTGCAAAACATTAAACGGTCAGAATTAAAAAAAAAAAAAAAAAAAAAAAAAGTCATATATCATGTAAATATTATGAACTTAAATTAATATTGGTTTGTACGTCGGTATTGGCAATTTTCAAATTCAATTACGGCAAATGAACTGAAGCAACGAAATTAGTAAACAAAATCAGTTTTAAAAGCCTTTAATTTTAACTTTATTTAAAAATTTGATAAATTTTTAAGACTGCAGAACTTTAAGACATCAAAGTTATTTTTTAAAAGTTAAAAAATATAAATCATGGAAATGTTATTAACTCAAAAAATTAATATTGATTGTTTGGTTTTATTTCTTCTGATTTCACATTTAATTACGGCGAATGAGCTGAAACAAACTACGAGATGATTAAGCGAAATCGGTTGCAAAACAGTTTGCAATTTCTGCTTTATTTAATAGTTTGACATATTTTAAAACTATCAAACTTTAGGAGGTTAAAATTATTTTTTAAAAGTTAAAAAATATAAATCATCCAATTATTACAAAATGTCAAACTCAAAACGTCATGACTTATTCGGTTTTATTTTTTCAAATTCCACATTCAATTACGGCGAATGAGCTGAAATAAACTACGAGATTATTAACCGAAATCAGTTTTAAATAATTAAATAATTTTATAATTAAATAATTTTATAATTAAATAATTTTTAATTAAATAGTTTTTAATTTCAGCTTTATTTAATAGTTTAACAAGTTTTTAAAACTGCAGAACATTAAATGGTCAGAATATTTCTTTAAAAAAAATATCATTTAAATGTTATTGACTTAAATTAATATTTGTTTGCACTCTGGTATTGGCATTTCTTAAATTTTCAAACTCAATTACGCAAATGAACTGAAGCAACGAGATTAGCAAACAAAATCAGTTTTGAACAATGAACCGAAACAAACAATGAAATTAGTAAGGAAAAACAGCATTAAAAGTTTTTATTTTCAGCTTTATTTAAAAATTTGACAAATTTTTAAAATTGTAAAACACTTATAAGTAAAACTGATTTTAAATAGCTAAAAAAATATCATTTAAATATTATTAACTTCAAAAATTTATATTTCAATTATTTGCTCTGTTTTATTGGATAGAATTTCAAACTCAATTAAGATGAATGAAACGAAACAAACAATGAAATTAGTAAGGAAAAACAGCATTAAAAGTTTTTAATTTCAGCTTTATTTAAAAATTTGACAAATTTTTAAAATTGTAAACCACTTAAAAGTAAAACTGATTTTAAATAGCTAATAAAATATCATTTAAATATTATTAACTTCAAAAATTTACATTTCAATTATTTGCTCTGTTTTATTACCGGTAATCTCAAACTGAATTATGGCGAATAGGCTAAGACAAACAATTAGATTAATAAACAATGACCAACAATGCAAGATATACTAAAAAGTTTGACAAATATTTAAGACTTCAGAACTTTAAAAAGTCAGAATTATTTTTAAAAGTTAAAACAAGAAAAAACATATATCAATAAAATGTAATTAACCACAAAGATCAATATTGATTTGTACGGTTTTATTGCTGGAACTTTCAAATTCAATTACGGCAAATGAGCTGAAATAAACAGCGATATTAGTAAACAAATACAAGTTTTAAAAGTTTTTAATTTCAGCTTTATTTAATAATTTTGAAAAAATTTTAAAATAGTAAAATTAAATAATTTTAAATTGCTCAAAAAAATCATTTAAATATTTTTAGCTTCAAAAATTCATATTTTAATGATTTGTTCTATTTTATTGCCTGAAATTTCAAACTAAATTACGGCGAATAAGCTAATACAAATAGGGAACCATGCCAGATGCATTAAAAAATAAATATACCTTAAACACGCACTCAAAGCCTATAGTTATTGCTCTTTATCCTGCGTAAACATTAGCATCCAACCTTTGGGAATAAACGACACCACGCAGACTAATTCTATACTGTCTCTATAGTGACGATGCTGGATTGAAGTACTATTTACGAATTATCGATCCATCTATCGCAGTTCCCCCGCAGAACAAAAATAAATTTCGATCGAGTAACAGGTGAATGTGTTTATTTTTTTTTAAAGAACAAGTAAAAATATTTTTAGAGATTTTAATTTATATGTTTAATATTTCATTTTATATTTTATAACCGTCGTTGAACAGTCTACCCAATTTTTGGGCTTACGACTGCTAATGTTGAACTCTATAGCCTTGTAATTTTGAACCCAATCCGGAAGACAAGGTAACTCCTAGATCAAGCATTGGGAGAAATTTGACTTCGATGGAACTAATTCGCAGTTTCATTGCTTGGAGAGGAAAACCACGAAAACTTCCCATGGTTAGCTTGACTGCAAGGGGACTAAGCCATGCTCGATCTACCACTGAGGATATTTTACATCAGCACTGGGTCCATGCAAGCCGGATGCGACATTCGTATCGACCAGACATAGCTGGGACTCGAACCCGGTTCACCTCATTGGAAGGCGAACGCTCTATCCCCACGAATTTGGCGAATTCAGGTCAAAGCAAACGAGATTGGAAGCTTTCGAACTAGCTTGATTGCAAATGGAACTAGAAGTGTAATGCAGTAATTTTGAACCCTATCCAGATGACAAGGGAACTCCTGAAACAAGTATTGGGAGAAATTTGCCTTCGTGGAGGACTTTTTGATGGAACTAACTCGCATTTGCGTTACGTGGAAAGGAAGAGCACGAGAACCTCCTATGATTAGCCTGACGGCAAGGTGACTCAAACCCATGATCCGTCTACCACTGAGGATATTTCATGTCAGCACTGCGGTCGGTGCAAGCCGGATGCGGAATTCGTATCGCCGAACTATCGATGGGATTCGAACCCGGTTTACCTCATAGGAAGGCGAACGCTCTATCACAAGAGTCATCGCGGAAGAGTATTTTTAGAGTTACAACCAAAGATGTGGAGTCGGTAATTAAAATGTTCAACTCCGGTTTTTCCAAATGCCTGGAGTTACGCTCGATTTAAATTTTCAGCGAATCTTCTAAATATTGTTACTAAATCAGGGACAATTTCAAATATTATATTTCTTTCCTTCATTATGATTAAAATTTAAAATATTTCATTTTTCAAAGCTACTTTAAAATTTTATTTTATATTCGACATAGGGCAGCTGACCCCTTTTGATTTTACGACATCAATGTTCAATTGCGCAGCCTTGCAATTTTGAACTCAACCCAAAGGACAAATTGATTCTTGGATCAAACATCAGGAAAACTAGCCTTCACTTTCAAATGGAGCTAACCAGCATCTGTGTTAGGAAAACTCCCACGGTTGACCCGACAGCAAGAGGATTCTAATCCTTGATGCATTAACCATTGAAGATACCTTGCACCGGGACCAGAATTCGTATCGAAAAAGCCTGCCAAGCCTGGAGTTGGAACCTGAGGCACAGAGATGCGAACCCCTTATCCCCTGAGCCAAAACTTCACAATTTAATGTTGCTACTTCTTAAAACTATGAATGAACTTTAGCCCAATTACTCAGCCGCCTAGTCGGTGTGCTCGCCTACTATGGTTTGAACCATTGGTCACTTTCCCGTGCTAAACACTAGAATCTGATCGGATTACATTCTAGTTAGGGAGTGTGGTGCGGAAGCCAGGGGATTACTACCATCCTCAATCTAATTTAAATTGTAGCAGTGTGCCGTTTGCCATCGGATCACCTCTAAGCACGAGTTCAAAAGAGTCGCCAATAGTTCTAGTGAGACGCGAGCAACCTAGCTGTATGGATTAAATTTGTAAGTTAATCTTATAAATGCAGTAATTTTTTTTATAAGTTTTAATTCGAATAACTTAATAATATCAAAGATTTTATTCTTAAACTCTTCGGAATTATAATGATATACATGTGACAGCGCGATTCCTCCTTTAACAGCCCACGATAGTATATAAAACGAGTCTTTCTGACTCTAGCATGGAAGTGATCTCAATACGGTACTCTTATATTGCATCTTGTATTAGTACGCATGCGTACTCTTTAGTACGCATACTCTTCTTTCTCATTTTGCCCGTCCTAAAGGGCTTACAAGGAATATAAATCATAATCAACGTTTAAGGACACTAAAACTTAGGATCTATAACAATTATATATTTTTATTCCTTTACGGGTAAATATTTGGCTCGTATAAAAAGTTTTGAAAGAATTAAATATGATTTTCAAAGAAATTTATTTATGAAGTTAAGTTAGAAAAATTACTTTTAACTATAGAATAATTTTCGTTACATTTATATAAAAATTTGATTTAAAATATTTAGAAATATACATTTTTCTATTTTTTCTTAAATCAAATTTTTAACCCGTCGAGTGATTATACATTTTTTTTAAAGGGAAAATCTTTATTAAAGATTAATTTGCTTATTATTTTAAAGGTTAATTTGACGTTGACATCCTCACAGTTCAACAAGGCACTGAACACGCAAAAACTCTTAAGAATTGCATGACGTCATTCTGTTTTAAATAAATCTAAATTTTCATCTCTTAGCAAAAGGTTATGCTTGTTGTGAGTAAAGGGTAGAAGCAAAAAATCAAGATGTTGGAGAGAAATAAAATTCGGTGCATAAAAAAAACGCAGCTTTACAATTAAATTTAACCAGAACTATTATCTAAGTTCGCAGCCACATGAGTAGTTAGTTGAAAAATATCAAAACTTTACAGTTTTTATTTTTTGCTAAAGTAAATTCCGTGTGAAAAGCAAAAAATTCAACTTTGATATGGAATAACTCAAACAATTAAACCTAATCTTATACTTAATCTGCACACTCATAATAAAATAATCTATACATTTCATGAACTAAGCACGCTTATTTCACTTTAGTTTTATTTATAATCAAAGCTCTTATATAGCTTATTTCAAATTAGACGACTTGGCATTCTTCCATTCGATCTCAACTAAGGGGCATCTTTTCAAAAGGGAGAAAAGTTGAAGAAAGAGAACCTTTCTTGAGACGAATAATGAATGAATGGTGACATTTTAAAAATCTATCTACATTAATTAACATCAGTATTAAAGCCAAGTCTCCTAAGTAAAAAAAAAAGGGTTTTTTTTAATGAAAGCATTAATTTCTTTTCAAAAGTTGAACAAAAAGTTCTTTTTTCGGGATTATATAAATGAATTGCATTAAAACACTAATACTTTCAACTGCAAAAATTCAAAATTAAAAGAAAAAAGATAATTTTCTTAAAAACTACATAAGAGTACACAGATGAAACAAATTATAAAAATTTTACTGCAATTATATTCTTCTTTATAAGTTTTTAAAAGTTTAAAGTTTCTAAAAGTAAAAGTTTTACAAATACTTACAAGCTTAATTTGGTAATTGAGCTTAATCGGAAACATTTTAATGACTTAAAAGCAGCGAAAAATATCAATTAGTTACCGAATAAATAGGAGCATTTAATTCTCCGTAGGTTAACATAAAGAAAGTATAATCCCTTTTCTGTTTTTAATTGGATATTTATCAGTTGATGCGCAAATTTCAATCATGACTTGATCATACAAAATGAAAACACGCATTACCATGAACAACATTTATTTATAACAAAACAAAAATAATTTCATAACAATTCTTTGTGAAATCTGATTTCATACAAAATTATAATATTTGGATTATTATTATTATTTACATTAATTGAATTGAACTTCTTTTCATTGGTAGCTGGAGAACATTTTGAGGAATAACCACATTACAATGGCAGGAGTTGATTTTGCATCTGATTTTCCATATTAAGCCAAATGAAATAATAAATTAACGTTCATTATGCAAATTTTCCATCAATACTTCAAAGAGAGCTTCAGCATGACTAGTGGCACTTCTTCTTAGTGGAAAAAAAAAAATCTAAAATAAATAAATAGATCATTCTAATTGCGCATATGTATATATATATATATATATATATATATATATATATATATATATATATATATATATATATATATATATATATATATATATATATATATATATATATATATATATATATATATATATATATATATATATATATATATATATATATATATATATATATATATATATATATATATATATATATATATATATATATATATATATATATATATATATATATATATATATATATATATATATATATATATATATATATATATATATATATATATATATATATATATATATATATATATATATATATATATATATATATNTATATATATATATATTAGCGTCGTTGCCGAGTGGAAGAATAAAAACAGGTCTTAGGCAGGAAAAGAGGGTACAAAATTTATTAATTATTACAGCGAGAACATCTATAAAAGTGTACACGAAATCGTTGTGCTCCTCAATAAAAGTTAGGGGAAATCTTTTAAAGTAAATCCGTAAAATGTTTCTTTTTAGGGAATTAGGGAAAAATTAGTAATTGTTATTGGTCTGTTAAAAGGGTCCAGGAAAAAAAAGTTTTTCCCACGAATTAGTTAGAGGGATAATCACCAGTATGATAATTAATGAATACTTGATCTAAAAATAGATTAAAAAAGACAGGATGTGGATTTTAAAGTGTGAGAAAGCGTTTCGTTTTGAATAATAAAGTAGCAAAAGGATTTACAGAAAAGGAATAACATAAAAAAGATTAATTAAAGCTTTTTATGTTACACCGTCACACATACATATATATAAAATCGTTGCCGAAAGGTGAGATAAGCCAGGTTTTAGCATAGGTCATTGGAAAACTATATTTATTATATCATTTCATACTGGTGGGAGATCATCCAAATCACATAAAATCGATCACTATTTCACTATTTAATGATGGTGATTCAATCCGATAATTACCAAAACCAACAATCCTGTTTGAAATCAAGTAAATTTTTAAGGTATAGAGGGCGTTTCTTGTTTTTCAGTGGCTCCATCTGCAGTCGAGAATAAGATTTCAGTCACGCACACGTCACAGTCCGTTTAACACGGAGAACCCAATCATACTCCATTCATTCACCCACGTTCGTTATTTTGACCTGAACCAGAGAAATATCAATTTCCAATTCAGTACCCCAAGAGGTATTGATTTGCTATGGGAATTCGGAGGACTTTGTGACCCCGATAGATTTAACGTGCACTAGTTACCGTTACCTTCAAACTCTCGTTTCCACGAATACGAGCCCAGCGTCCTTCCAACCAGGCTATCCCGGTCCTTTGTATGACCTAATAATTAGAATAGATTGAACCGTGGTGGCTCACGGGATAAAGCGTTCGCATTCCTATTGGGTGAACCGGATTCGAATCCGAGCGAAAACTGGTCAAGACGAATTCCGCACCCGGCTCACACCAACTACAGTACTGGCCCAAAATATCTTCAGTGACAGACTGATCATGGGTTAGAGTCTACTGCCGTCAGGCTAACCGTGGGAGGTTTTCGTGGTTTACTTCATCATGCAACTCAAATGTGGTTAGTTCCATCAAAAACACCTCAACGAAGGCAAATGTCTCCCAATACTAGATCCAAAAGTTCTCTTGTCTTCTGGATTAGGTTCAAAATTACAAGGTTACGGAGTTGCACATTAATAGTAGTAAGTTCGAAAATTGAGTTGGGTGTTTAACGACGGTTGTAAAATAAAATAAGATTAGATTATCATTATAAATGTTAATACCTAGCATCTCTCTCATTTTTTTTGTTACTTTCAACAACGAGATTCAAACGAGAGCTTATAAAGAAAAGATCTCGAGAAAGAAAATTTTTCTAAGAACAATTGATGTTAAATAGTCATTAATATAAAAAAATGTGAAAAAAAGTATTTAAAAGCAGTAACTTTCGAACAAATTGGTAATTCGAAGAAAAATGCATAAGAATCTTAATAGGAAATGCACCTTTCAGCTCGTCTTCAGTCTAAACTCTTCAGTTGTATTTCTGCGATCACCTTGATTCTTTAAAACTTTAACAGTTTAAATATCTAGAACTATAGATCAAATGTTAATTTTTTACCATCTTTCTCTCTGTAAATTTTTAAATATACGTTCAGATTTTAAAGTTTCTAAGTTGTATGGTTTTTCCAAAATAAAATACAAAATTTATCGGAAAGTTGAACACTCAAACTAGAGGCAGTGCCGCTTAGGATTTATTGATATAGAGAGAAAAGGAAAAAAACTATATCCACAACCATATTTTTTACTTGGGGGGGAGGTATTAATATGGATTTTTATTTATTTTGTATTAATATTTAATTTTACCAATAGTAAACAAGGTCGAGAAATGATTGTATTTCTCAGATATTTCTCAAATTATATCCAAATTCACAATCTTAGACAGTATGATCATACTTTATACGATTTTTTAAAATCCATTTAAACATATTTAAAAATTCATAACTCATAAATAGTTAATTATAATAACTTATTTATAATATTAATATTTAATTTATAATCCATTATTTCTTTTCATATAGCTTTCGAAAAAATTATATAAAGCTATATCAAAAAACTCTTTACGTTTAGTAGTTGAGAAAGCTATTGTATATTTTCTCATAAAAACACCATAAATAATTTTGAAGACATTGACCGATATCAGAAGTTGAGTATCGCGATAATTGTCTTGAAATATTGATAGTGGGCGATATTTTAAAGCTAATTTCACTACTTCATATTTTTTCGAATTTCCCAGTAATGAGCATTGTTTCTTACATCAGTCAATATTTTTGAAACTAAATTTATCACATTGTCTAATTATCGTTATCGATAGCACTAGCGGCATTATCGTTGCCAATAATTATCGTGCATTTATCATAATTTCACATTTATCATAAGTTCACATTTATCATAAGCTCACATTTATCGTCAGCTATCATATTCAAGACAGATTTTGAGAATACTTTTAAAATATCGTTATTGAGTTAAAAAAAATAACGATATTTCACTTATGTTCTACTTACTCCAACTCTGTATCTTTTTTTGTATTTTATATCCGTTGTTGAACAGCTGATCCAATTTTTGGGTTCACGACTACTAATGTTCAACTCTGTAGCCTTGTAACTTTGAACCAATCCAGAAGAGAAGGAAACTCCTGGATCTGTACTCCCAGAGGTATTAATTTACTATGGGAACATGGAGGACTTTGCGACTCGACAGATTTAACGTGCATCAGTCACTTGATTTAACGTGCATCAGTCACTTCGGCCGACGGGGATCGAACCCACGAATGGGCCCAGCGTCCTACCTACCAGGCTATCCCGGCCTTAACTCTGTATCTTGTATAATCTAAAGCCATGGATAATCTAGCACAAGTAGTGTCTCTCATTTTCCAGCAACCTTTGTGCTGCTTTCGATTTAGATTGGTAGTCATCGATCACATGGTTAAACAATCGCCATTTTGATGACTAGTTAGAACGAAGCGTGATTGAGCTGGATCTATTATTTCTATTTTCGCCTTTTTTAAATTTGTTTCGTATTTTTAAATTAATAATGACAAGTTGTTGTGCATTTGGGTGAGCTAATAAATCAAAATTAGGACTTAAATTATACCGCTTACCTGTTGGAGATCACAATAAAGAACGCCGGAAAGTATGGCTGCATAGAATTGGCAGAGATAAATGGACTCCAAACAAAAACAGCAGATTTGTGTGAGGTAAGTTGGAAATTTATTTACTTATTAATTTGTTTCTAATTTTACAGGGTATTATTTATTAGTTATGCAGAGCAAATATGCTTCGGTAATTATGTTTAGCAAACATGTTGCAGTTAACAAAATGGCGGCGTGTTGCTACTTAAACTACGTATCCAGGGCCTCAGTAAATTCTAGATCAGACCAATTGTATGAACAGATAATAAAAAGTTTTAGAGATAGATAAGAATCTTAGTAACGTAATAAGAGTTAAAATCATTAAAATAATTTTTTACATCGCTATATCCTGGTACCTTACCAGGCTTGTTAGATTTGTTACCTTGTAAACTTACTTTTTCTCGGAGGCAGAGCTTGAGGTAGCATTTCTTAACCAGAAGTGGGCCGGTTTTCACCTTGGCTGCTTCTAATTCTGAATTTACTAAAACCTTCATACAGGTAAAGCACCACTGCCACAAAAGCAAAAAACTAGAAAAGAAATATATACATATATTTTGGCTATATTGATACAATATCAGAAAGCACTCTTTTTTGCGGATATAATCGTGTGGGCTGATGAAAAAATTATATCGTTTTCCGGATTTTTTAAAAAAAATTTTTCCAGATGTTTATTTTTTTTATTATTATTTTTCTACCCCCCTTTTTTTCATATGTCTGTAATTTTCTTTGTTTTATCTTCATTTTGAACTTATTATAAGTTCTGTTTGCTTGCAGCTTATGCGTAATAAATGAAACTTATTGTTTTTCTTAATTTTCTTCGTGTTTTTTTGTATTTTCGTATTTATTTATTTTGTTGTATATATACATACCCTCCAACTTATGAGGATTTTGAAAATAATTCTTTCTAGTGGTCGCGGACCAAAGTAGAAATTTTTAAAGCAAATGGATCTCTCATAAAACTTTTATCAGAACTTAAGAATCTAGCCATATGGCCTGCACTTTTATAAGTAATAGTGGACAAGTTACGCTAAATTTTTTTTTTTTTAAATATTAAGACATTAATTTTGCTACCGTCTGAAAAGAAGATTTCTGAAACTACGGAAATTCCGTAGCAGTTGGAGGGTATGCAGTAGTCACTTTCCAGAACAATTAAAAGACCGGTAGAAAAAGATCGAAAAAAAAATAAAATGCTTTAACTAATTATTACGGAGCTGAGGACCATATATCTGATTCTTAAATAAACAAATAAAATGAAAAAGTCGTTCAAGGGATGAAATTCCCTTTATTCACAACTTAGTACTATTTTATAGAATTTCTCTGGTCTCACATTTCAAGAATAAACTCAACAGAATTTCAATGTATANTTATATTTCAAACAAAAAAATTTCTCACGATAAAAAAAAATTAAAGTTACATAACAAAGATTTAGAAAATTATGTTGTCAGATATAAACTAAAAACGTACAAGGCATTACTTTTGAAAAGGTTGAGCATTTTCGAAGGTGATAGAAGCTTATAATGAAAGAGATTGCGGTACATTTTTTGTTTAAAACAAAATTATTTTATCCTTTTTAGTTTAATGAAAATGCGTAGCCTTTAGTTACTTTATTTAGTTTATCTGGGATTTTTTCTTTCTCTTTTGATTTGAGTCAGCGACTGAGGCTTGAAAGTGGTCGAAATTTTGATTGACAGTAAAATGGCGAAACATCTTGCTTGCATTGAGAACTGGCACATAGCTCCAATTGAATTTTAAACATTCTACAGCCAGTTGGAAAATGGTTAAAAATTCGATTGTTGACAAATTTCCAGCCATAGGCGAAAAAAAACTATATAAATTCGATTTTTAACGGTCGTAAAAAAACTACGACTTATATTGTCAGCCAGGACAAGAGGCTCCAAATCAGATTCGAGCACTTAAATTAGTTTGGAATTTTGATTGGCGAAAAATTCTATTTGACGATATAATGTTGATAAATCCTGCTTGTGGGAATGGAACTCTATTAGAGATTTAAGTATCATAGCTAGTCAGAAATTTAGATTAAAAGATTCTCCTCAACAGACATAAAACTACGAGTAATTAAGTAAAATCTTGCTAGATACGAATACTAGTAACCAGTCTCAAAATTTGTCTGGTAAAACGAAGAATAAAGGAAGAAGTCGCAAAGATAACATTCCTGGAATGAAGAATATTAGCCTTGCATAGATTTTTAAAAGAGGACTGTTTACTTTAAAAAAAAAAAACTCATTTAAAGAATCGATTATTGACTCATAAATCAACCACTTCTGTATTTTTTGTAATGAGTAGATTCCTAATTATTTCACATTTTTTGTGAATTTTACTCAAGAAGTGAAAAGATAAATAGATCTGAGCATTTAAAGTAAAAATTGGTACAGTGAGAACAGGTACAGCACATAAAGCACAGTGCTAGAAGTTTCAATATCTGTTTGATTGTCAAAGGAAATAGAAAAGAGTTGGCAGGCGATTCTACGAAACTTCGAGTTTTCATTAACAGATGTTTTTCATTTCGCGATTTCAACTAGCGATTCGATTCGACAGATTTCGATGGTATTTATCCCCCCCCCCTCTCCACTTAAATATCAATTTGCTACGCTTACTGTGTATACTTTTAATTCATTTTTGAAAAAAAAAAGATTCTAAAAAAGTAAATGCGATGCTTATGGAACACCCAATAAATCAGATATTTTTAAGCTCACATTCTAGAAGACAGTAGGGAACCGATTATCCGGAACGGTCGGGACCATCGCTATTCCGGATAACTTGATTTTTCCGGTTTTCTGAATCGCTACAAAAAGTCGTTTTCTTTATTGTTAAACCAACTAAAAAAAAAAAAAAATTTGGAAATAATCTTAAAAATAAGAAAATGCGATGAAGTAATACACTAATGAGTATTTCCATAATGATGGTAAGGAAAACATCTTTAAAAAAAGAAAGAAAAATCGTAAAATCTTACGAGGAAAAAAAAAAAAATTTAAAAATGGCGAGAAAATTTATCGAATTTCGTTCCGGTTTTTTGGTTTTCCGGTTTTCTGATTTCCGGATAACGGGTTCTGTACTGACTACATTTATTAAGCGTATAAATTAAGCATTTGCCCATCAAATTAAAATGCTATCTAATAAGCTAAGTCCCGGAGATCTATAATTATTTAAATAGCCATAATAAATTTATGATAAAGCTGGTAGGACTTTCCTCACTTTAACCGCAATGAAACGTTTATATAGTTCGTGCTATGCAAAATGACAACTGTATATATTTTCATGGAAAAACTATTATAACGCGATGATAACTAAGGAGTTAAACTTAGTTTGTTTAATTTAATTAATATTTTTACAAGGACTATGAATACCCGTTACGATAATTTAATAAGAGTTTATTTATAGTATTTCATAGTTTTCTCACTAGAAATATTATTCATAAATAAACTAAAAGAGGTAAAAATTTAGTTAAAGGTTAAACAGTGAATATTTTTAGTAGTTAATAAATAAGTGAAATACATACTTCAGAGTTAGGCAATTGTAATTGTATTGCACTAATTTTGTAATCGTAGTTCAATATTAGTTGCAATTACATTACAATTTTAACCATAAATTATTATTGCTTATAATCACGATTAAAACTGTAATCTGTGATTATGATTACTCATAATCACGATTACAATTTATTTACAATTCACGATTACATTATTTTTAAATTAATTCGCAATAACTGATAATACAAGTGATATACGTTTGAACCGACGCTGATAAAAGTTCCAGTATGCTATTCAGTCCCTGTTATGGTTGGTATAACTATTTACTTAATTATACTATATCTCAAACAGTAAAAATCTCAACTTACCGCAGCTGAAGCTAACGCAGAGTGAGCATCTGCCCATGAGGCAGATATACCACCAGCAATGAGATACAGTATGGCCCATATAATAGAAAAGATTACTTCCTGCAAAAAATAAGAACACTTTTAAGAGTTTTATATTCAGGAAAAAGAGTATCCGGTACTCTATTTATTTAAAAAAAAATTTTACAGAGTGCTTCGACATTTTAATTCTCGTAAAAAATAAAGAACTCTTTACACTAGCGGCTTCCAATTATTTTCGGTTATGGAACCCTAAATGATCGTCCTTCATTTGGCGGAACCTCCGACTTCATAATCAAAGTTAATTTGCATTTATGAATGAATTAATTAATAAAACTATTAATTCTTTTGCAAAATATTGAACACGGAGAACGAAATTTTTAATCGTTTTAATCAAAAATAGTTTTAAATTTAGGATTTATGTCTTATAGTTGAATTCGCAGCCATGGAGCTGCGTCTAGTTAAGTTCTAAGTTTGTTTTGGAGCTATGTATAAGATGAAAATAATATTAAATAAATGAATAATAAGCTGAAAATAATATTCAAATTAACCGAATCGAATCGTGGTTTTGTTGAAATGAAAATGAATAAAAAAACTGTTTTAAACATGAAACATAAGTTTTTAAAGTTGAAAAAAATATAACTTTAAAATAGAATGGTCGTCAAAGAATCAAATTTCTTTATTTTTAATTATTAGAATTAGATTTTTTAAATCATTTTAATACAATTAGACTAGGGAGCGAAATTTACACCCGCCAGCTGACCATCGGCGATTAAATAAGTAAGGTTGGCGAGTAACTTGCAAATATTGGTTAGTAAATTAAACACTATACGCTTTGATTATTGTGTTAAAGTGCTTTAAAAGCCATAGAAACTCGTATGGCATTAATTGTGTTTTCTACACTAAGGTGCGCTGTAAGGAGTACTGCCGATACTTCCGGGTAACTGTTTTTGGCGTGCTTTGAAGCCATTCTGGCTCACAACGTGATCATAGTGTTTTGAGACTCTTCTTGAGTAGTATTTGGTTAGCCTGACGGCAAGAAGACTCTAGCCCACGATCCGTCTACCACTGAGGATATTTCACGGCAGCACTGTGGTCGGTGCAAGCCGGATGCGGAATTCGTATCGACCAACTATCGCCGAAATTCGAACCTGGTTCACCTCATTGGAAAGCGAACGCTTTATCCCCTGAGCCATCGCGGCTCTATGGTATTTTTAATGGTAAACTAATGGCAAGTTTCCTTAAATACAAATTGTTGTGGGAACACCTTAAAACGTTCAATTAAATTTAAACTTATGCTTGGATATCGTTGAAATCTTGGAAGGACATGAAATATTCACAACAGCAATGAAATTATCTGAATTTGCGATATTTACGTGTTATTCGAAGGACCAAATCTGAAAATAAATCTGGATGTGGCTCAAACTTAAACACTTTCGAATTTTATGCATGCAATAAGTTATATTTGTATTTTGTCTATTTCTTTACTATCGACGTAAAAATTACAATGTAAAAATTAATTTCGAAGATCAAAATGGCGCAACGCTAGAGAAAATGATCGACGGGATAATACGTAAATTCCGAATTTGCTAATCAATAACCGAAATATTTTTTTGAAGTAACAACTAGTAGATATTACCTACATTTTTTTTTTAAAAAAAGGGAAAGAACTGAAACTTACCAGCAACAACCATGGAATAAACTGCATCGCGTCAGTGAAGTGAAACAAATGGAAGATGAGTAAAAAAAGGGAAATGATAAATGCCGACATCGACACAAATTCATAAAATGTACCAGATGGGTAATAGTATTTTGATGTGACGACGATCATGCTGATAAAACCGCATAAGTCAACAACCTAAAATAAAAACAAAGCAATTAGTTCTTTTAGGCTGAAATGCATTACGAATAATTACAGGGTGTCCAAAAAGTGATCCGACGATTTGAAAAATAAATGAGATAAAAAAGGAAGGAGAGTGGTCGAAAGTTTGGACCCCTTAATGCAAAGTTTACTTTTTGAGCATTTCGCCGTATCTTGAAAAAATTTTTGGTATATAATTATAAAATTTGTTTCTTCAAAGATAATTCCATGCAAAAATAATTTTAATAATTATTTAATAATAGTCGAAAAAATTTAAATTCGAAGTTACGAAAATGTTTAAAGAAGACAATAAAAATGTTTGAATGCCTGTGTTTTTTAAAATTCGATTTCTGAGGAACTATTTGACCGATTTCGATTTCATCACTTAAAATTACTTTTTTCAAAATAATGAATGCAAATGAGGCAAAAAATTGTATATCTTACAATTCAAAATTCTTTTCAACTATTATTAAATTAAATAATAAATATTTACTGAAAGTTATACTTCACATGTGCAACAATTTGTTAAAAATTGTGGCCAATTCACTTAAAAAGCCATCGAGATATGGTCAAATACGCAAAAAGTACTATTAACATGAAGAGGTCAAAACTTTAATCCGCAGCAGCTACCTATATTTTGGGAGTAAGAAATAAGAATACGTCTAAAAAAAGGTATGTTTATTCAGAGAGAGTACGTTTTTGTGTCTGATTTCGTAACTTAAAATATCGTCTGCGCTAATTAATTAGCATATTTGAGGCCATCCTCTCAAACCATTGAGTCTTAGAACGTGAAGATTCCATCATTAAATCAAAAGTTATTCAAGGTAATACGCTTTTTTTTAGGACTGTACATAGGTTCTTGGCAAGCTCTGTAGAGAACCGATGTCGTTTTGGACTAACTATGCTTCGCAGCACTAACGTGTGTAAGAGTTCGTTATGCTACGTTCGTTATGCAAAATCATTGAACTTGCACAACTAAAATCTTCTTTTAGCACATTGCCGAACTTCAGTCCACAATATCAACTTTTCCCCGCCTCTTATAAATTAACACTTTCAAAATTTACTTCTACCGATGCATTAATTTAGATATCTTTATCTGGAGCAGTTTTTCTGACACAGAACTTATAAGACTTGTATTTGAGTTTTTAAATTTTGATTCTGAGTTTCTAATCTTAAATTTTTAGAATTTCACTGTTTAATAACTTTTATGCACGTTTTTCTTTGTTTTTTTTTTAAACTTAAATTTTAATTGTTAGATGTTATTTTAGCTGTACATTTTACATACTACAGTTTTAGCCGATTTTTCTAAATTTGTTTTTTAGCCATGGTAAAGCTTTTGCCAATCTTACTGTGCTTTACTGTTTTTAACTACAAATCTTGATATCTCAACTCTATAAGGGTCATTTGACCTATAGTTTTAAATCTGTTAAATTTTTTTATTCATAGGTTATTCTGTGTTATTTTTGTGATTCATTTTTTTTATAAAGATCCTTTAACCCTGATGGAGAAAGTCCTGTTATAACATTTTTAGCTGGCAGTAAGCACAACTACTGAATATGTCATACTGTTTTATTTGTTCTCTCATACAATCTTACTCGCCCGCCATGTAAATAAGCTGTTGTATGTACTTTATGTATTTTTTGTTTTGTACTGTTTTTTGCATTTCAGTAAACATTTACCCGCATGCCCTAAATTAGGGCAGGTCGGGGTAAATTTCTCATGCTACGTGAAAATACGAAATCTCAACAGCTAAATCTTTTTAACCTCTTACCTGAAAAGCTAGTGAAATTCTACAACTAAACTCGAGATAACCCGGGCAGAGAAAATTGTTAAGTTAATGGGTAATGTTGGGGGGTAATTGTTAAGTAATGGGGATTCTAAAAAGATGGGCAAAATTTTAGGAAGTGATAGTCCTCACCGAAGAAAACAATTTTTATCAAAGAATGCATGGTCGAAAATAAAACACACGCATTTGGTAAGTTGTTTGATGCAAACGAGAAAGTTCCATTCCTATTGCGAGTTACTGCGCTACGTTATTTGTCGCCAAGCTTTCGGCCGCTGCAGAGAAAGTTCGCCTATCTTTTCTTTGCCGTTGTACCAGCATAGCCGCCGGCGGCCACTATTTTGAACACTTATTGTAATCACATGCCATTAAATTTGCTTTTATAACTCAACTTCATCGTTCTTTGTGTGCTTTTGCCTCATATAAGAACATAAACTTTGACGCCCTCTAGCGGTTTTGGGTTCTGTTTTCGACCATGCATTCTTTGATAGAAATTGTTTGTTTGGGTGTGTACTATCACTTCCTAAAATTTTGCCCATCTTTTTAGAATCACCCCGTATAATCAATTACACCTGACGCAAAAGAATGGTCAAAGTAAAGGAACTCGGGTAAAAGGTGACAAGGAGGCTTGAAAGATGTTGCAATCCGTATTTATCAAAATGAGGTAAACATGCCCTTTGAAATATTTCTTTAGCTTGAGGAAGAAGCGTAGTTTGACAAGCAATAAAATACAATAAACAGTAGTGAAATTTACTTACACATTCTACTATTTTCAAAATACCAGGAACTGATTTAAGGTAAGAAGAATCTAAGTATATCTTCGAGGGCGTCCGATTGGAATTTGCAGTTATAGTGACCTGCGTAGTAGCCATCTCAAAGACCTAAGTAAACATAAAACAAAAGTCAGCATAAATATGCGTTCATTGCAATTTACTATTTACTACGGATAAAAAATAGATAAGTTAGAAAATATATTTGTGTAATTTTTTTCTTTTTTTTGTTGACGGAGAGTCATTTTCTCAACTGAAACACTTTTATTTCTAAGGTTTTTCTGATTTCCTGTAAAGTTGTAATGGCAGGGTACTTAGTTTGTTAAAGTACCATATTTGTTATCGAAATACCTGAATGTATTAGCAATTTCGTATTTTGTAAGAAATAGTTAAAAATAAGAAAAGTAATAATACGCTGCTCAAAAAAATTAGGGGAGCAGATGAATTGAACGAAATTAAGCAAATATTTCTTCTGCTAATTAAGTCAAATCAAAATATCCATAGTCTTAAGTATAGCAGAAAACAGCAGAATTTCTTTTATATGCAAATAAAACTTCATGACGAAAAAAACTAGAAAAAGGATTTAAGTGCAGAAATCTTGATTTTGCAGAAGTTGCTGTCTTTCGTTATCTCAGTGGTAAAACGAAGTATAATTTAATATATATTCAACCTTTCGGCTTTTGTTTTGAGAAAAATTTACTTACAATTGTCACGGCAACGTGTTGTACCAGAATTAATAACTAGTTGACAAGGCGTATTTTCAGGCGACTGGAATGTGGGCAAACGTAGTGAACGCTATTGAAGTGGTAAGAATTGTCATTGCAAGACTGGAATAGCTTCCGAGAAAGGGACATGCTTGACGTCATCCAGGACAAAGTCGTCTACGTTCTACCACAGCAAATAATGACTAATATCTCATGTTAACAGCTCGTCGTAACAGAACAGCCAACACCGCGATAATTCAAAGACAGTTGTTTTTGCCATAAGGGTGGCTTGTATACACGCAGGCCAATAGTGGCTCTTGACAGCCAGGCACCGTGCAGTCCAAAGAAAGTGAACTGTTGAACATCGAGATCGGTGTTTGGAGTCAAGTGTTGTTTACGGAGGAGTCCCGATTCAGTTTAGAGGGTGACACCAGACGTGTTTTGGTATGGTTAAAAAGGTGCACTCGAAAATACCCTATATTCATTCAGGAAGGATCACATTACAGACGAGGTGGTTTGATCGTATGAGCTGGAATCAGCATAGGTGGATAATCTAACCTGTATTTCATTCGGAAGGGCAAATTGACGTCTCAAAGGTATGCAGACGAGATCCTGAGACCCCATGTCGCATCTTACGCTGCAACCATTGGTGATTTCTTTCTTTTAATACATAATAATGTCAGACCGCATACAGCTCGTCTTGTGGAGAACTCACTTGAAGCTGAAACAATGCAGCTCATAGAGTGGCCAGCATGCTCTCCTGATCTTAATCCGATCGAGTCTGCTTGGGACGCACTCGGACGAGGCCTCTTTTTATTGTCCAAGACTTGGAGATTGCACTTTGTCAAGAGTGGAACAGTATTCCTCAATGTCTCATTGAATCAATGCAAAATAGGTGTGTCGCAACCTTAGCAATTCGGTAGGGACCACACACCATAACAAACATCCTGTTACAATCAGTTTTTTGTCATTGACAAATTATCAGATTGTTTCCTTGAAACATCATTTCATGTTCTTTATACCATTCCAAATAATTAAAGTTCCCATGTAATTGTTTTTTGCTTCTTTTTTCATGTATTCTGTTTTGTTAAAGTTCTATTCTCCGTTTTATGCTTAATCGTAACTATCAAGCAAAGTTTTCATAACAGTTTTGCTTGCTCCCCTAAGTTCTTGGAGCAGTGTTTAAGCATAATAATATCAAGTCTAATCGGTGAAGCTTAATCACAAAGATTTCTCTGTTGCTTACTGCTTTGATGCTGCTGAACTCTATTGAGCCGATCGTGGGAACTTTTCACTTCATCTTCAAAGAATTAAAATATAATTTAGCTTAATAGTAACAAATAGGTCACAAATTCTCAGTAAAGAAAATAGCATGTTATTTCTCCAAAAACACGTGACGACAGAACCTTCGGAAAATAGACTTAACCAGGATTGCATACTGCTTTTCCCAAAAACCGATTGAAAAATAAGGGATTTTACAACTATATTATTTTTCCCCAAGGATGATACAAACATAAAAAAATGTGGTCTCTTATTGCTTTCTAATAAATTCTTAGAATTAAAATCAGTCAAAATATAAAAAAGATATTTAATCACTTTGTGCACAACCTTCATAACGATAAGTCTAAAAGGGTGATATAGAACCATGTAACATTATACATGCACAGAGGCTAGACAAAATTATGGAAACACTTCTATACTGACTCCTTTTTCCACATTTCTTAAGACAATTGAATTATATTATGGCGAATATTGTTATATTGTGGTTTTCCACATTTCTCAAAACAATAAAATTGACAAATTGCAAAAACATTGTCAAAGATTTATTATGTTCTTTACATTTAATAATGCTTTAAATAATGATTAGTTATCCATTATTCTAGAAAAATATATTTACCTCTCACCGAGATATTCATCTTAAAAGTTCACGTTCGACTAATGTCAAAAGTAACAACAACAAAAGAAAAAGAACTAATAAGTTACAAAAAAAAAATAAGAAAGTGATTAGATGTTACCAGATATTAATCTTATCATTTATACCGAATTTTTTTTTCTTTAAATAAAAAACTCAGGAGGGAAAAAGAACGATTCAATTTGAACTGATACAAAAAATAAAGTTATCGTTCTAGATTGTTAACGTGTAAAATTACGTCTCACTTCTCATTGTGTCACCAATTCTGTATTCCTAAGCTTAAATACTTTCATTTTTCAGTTTGTTGTTGTTTCTAATGTCACTTTATTTTATATTTTATAACCATTGTTGAACAGCCGACCCAATTTTATGGGTTTACGACTACTAATGTTCAACTCCGTAGCTTTGAACCCAATCCAGAAGACAGGGAACTCCTGGATCAAGTATTGGGAGAAATGTGCCTTCGTGGAGGACTTTTAGAAGGAGCGAACCTGCATTTGCGTTGCATGGAGAGGAAGACCACGAGAACCTCCCACGGTTAGCCTGACGGCAAGGGGATTCTAACTCATGATCCTTCTGCCCTTGAGGATATTTCACGCCAGCACTGTGGTCGGTGCAAGCCGGATGCGGAATTCGTATCAACTGGAATTCGAACCCGGTTCGCTTCATTGGAACGCGAACGCTCTATCCCCTGGGCCATCGAAGCTCTTCTAATGCCACTTGTCAATATCATCAAGCCTGCTTATTGAAACCAAGCAAATTTAAGGCTAAGAGTGTGTTTCTTGTTTTTCAGCGGGGCCATTTATGGCCAAGAATACGACTTCAACCACACACACGTCACAGCCCGTTTAAAGGGCGGACCCATTCATATATCCATTCACAGATCGTAATTTTGACTTCAACCAGACAACAATCAATCTCCAATTCAGTATCACCAGAGGTATAATTTGTTATGAGAACATGGATGACTTTGTGATCCGATAAATGTAATGTGCACCTGTCACCATTTACTAAACGGGGAGTCTTCAGCCAGCGAGGATCGAGCTCACGACCTCTCGGACATGAGTCCAATGCCCTACCAATGAGGCTAAGGCACAACGGGTTATTTTTCAAATCGAAGTTAGCAGTCAATTTGTTACTATTAACATACTATTAACAAAATGTTCATACATAAAACTATAAAAATGATTTATTTCATGAACAAGGATTTTTAATTATTTATTTTGAAAAATATCGACTTTTAAGAAATGAAAAAAATATATACAAAGATGAATACGAGGCAACCACGCGGGTCGAAGAGCGGAGTCTTTTCTAGTTATCAGACTCGTATAATATACACGAACTCACGAAAGCCGTTCGCGGAATATTTTGCAGTTACTAAAAAAGAAAAAAATAATATTTCGCCTCTTCAAAGAAAGTTTGACTTTTTCGAATTCGAAAAAAAACCCGTTTTTATGCTTTCTTCTATTAATACAAACAAGATTTAAAATTACATTCACACATTTTAATATCACACATCACATTTCCTATTTCCGCGATTTCCTATTTCCGCGCATCGTCTTTCGTATTTTCACGACTTTATATCAAATATCATGTTTCGTATTCAAGCGATTTAAAAGCCACTATTATGATTCGCGTTCAAGTGACTTATAATACATCAGAAGTAGTATTCACGCGATTTTTAAATCGAATATTGAAATTCGTATTCACAGAATGTTATAATCAAACATTGAGATTCACATTCCCGGGATTTTAAAATGAAACATCGAGATGCGTATTTACGCGATTTTAAAATTAAATGTCGCGATTCCTATCCGCGTGATTTAAAAATAACACACTGAGATTCATATTCACACAATTTAAATAAATAAAATCTCACAACGATATTTTCATTACATTGATAACATTCTGTAGATAAATGTTTTCTACGTTACAGTTTTTACCTCGCTCAAATTTGCTATTATTTATTTCAAATTATTTAAGAAATGTTTTTACACATAACATTTTTGGAGATCTATTTTCAGGTTTCTTGGTTTTTTTTTACTAAACTCTACCCTATGGAATGAATCAATATAGAATTCCATAAAAACTAAAAAAAATTTTAAACTACACTGGTTATCATAAATTAAGGAAAAATCACAAAAATAGCGATAACTCTTTCAAAAGTAAGCCAAACCGTGCAAAATTTGCATATGTTGTCCACTAAGAGTAGCTGAGTAAAATTGCAATATGCAAATTAGTGGCGCTGCACTCGGCTTACGTCATCTGCCTGGAGCATAAAAGTCCAAGTTTGAGAGAAAGCACACAAATTTTACTGTGATTGCGACATTGAAAATCTGAGATAGCCAATTCGTAATAATGACCTCTAGGCATCATTTGCCTGAAGAACTACGATGGAGAGC